TTTTAGATAAATATAATGATCACATTCATTGTAATTTGCACCTTACATGATATAACTTATTTTTTCCCATTCCCCAACTTCCCACCAACCCTTCTTCCCCTTCCCATTTACAAAAGCTTTGTTTCCATTTTTCCTTTTTTTTTTTTTTAAACTTTTGTCTTCTTTCCTGTGATGTTTTTTAATACAATGGAATGCTACTCTACCATAAAGAAGGATAAACTTGAGACATTTCTAGGTAAATGGATGCACCTTGAGACCATACTGTTAAATAAAATAAATAGGATTTATGTGTAAACACCATTGTTTCGGGTGCTGGGGATTTGGCTCAGTGGCATAAGCACCTGCCTTGCAAGCAGGCGTACTGATAAAAATGAAAAAGACAAAAAAAAAAAAAATACCATTGTTTCTCTGGTGTGAGAAACTGAAAGTGTAAATAAGTGTAAATACCAAAATATATAAAAGGTATTGTAAATAGGATGAAAATGTTCAAATGGGAAGGGGAACTAGGGACAGGGGAAATAGTTACATTTTTAAAAGGATACCATTTTACCTTTGTGCAGGCAATTGTACTTACTTCTACTTTCAAGGGCACAGATAGAGGCAAGGCAGTTTGCAGTTTGGCTAGCTGGTAACATGCCAAAAAAAAAACCACACACACACACACACACACATAAGACAGTTACAGTAAATCTGTGTGCACTTTTAAATACATTTGCCATGCTGAGTCTCTGTCTCCACCCTCCCCCTTATTTTGCACTTTATTCATTCATTGAGTTTTCTCATATAAGAGAAACCATGTGATATTTAAGTGTGTGTTTGATTTGTTACTTAACATTATGTTCTCAAGGTGCACCCATTTTCTTACAAGTGACTCATGTTTATCCTGTTGTGTCTAACAAGAAACAATGTGTTTGTCCATATTTTTCATGTCATCTTTGATTTCCTTTTTTAAGAGCACTGTAGTAGATCTCATTGTGGAAGTCTTTCACTTGATTGGTTAACCAGTTAATCAAATTCCTAAGAATTTCAATCTTTTTCATGCTATTGTGAAAGATACTGGTTCCCCAATCTCTCTCTCTCTGTGAGTTTATTGGTGGGATACAGGAACACTTGCTTTTTGAGTATTGATATCGTATCCTGTTATGTTACTGAATTTGGTTATCAAAAGTAAGACTTGGTGAGGAGTCTTTCTGGTGGAAATTTTGGAGCCTTCTGAAAATAATGATAATTTTAACTTCTTCCTTTCCTATTCATGTCCATTTTCTTTCTCTTGTTTAATTGCTCTGGCTAATTTTTCTAGAACTATATTGAATAGGTATGGTGATATCAGCCATCCTTATCTTGCTCCTGATTTTAGAGGGACAGCTTTCGGCTTCTGTCCATTTAGTATGATGTTGTCTTTTATCAGATTGAGATAAAGATCTTTTATACCTATTTTCTTCAAGGTTTTTATCATGAATAGATGGTAAAGTGTCAAAAGACACTTGACAAAGTGCCTTTTCTGATTCTATTCAAATGACCATGTGTTTTTTGTCCTTCTATTTATGTGATGTATAAGGATTACTGATTTATGTATGTTGAACCATTCTTTCAGCCCTGGAATGAATCTTGTTTGGTCACATCATATGATCTTTGTGATGATTTGCTGCATTCTGTTTGCCAGTATCTTATTGAAGATCTTTTCATCTATGTCCCTAAATAGACTGGCCTATAGTTTTCTTTTTGGTTGGGTCCTTTTGTGGTTTTGGAATTGGTAGTGTTTGTGTCCAGGAATGACTTTGGGAGTACTGCTTTCTTTTTGGTTTCATTAAGGAGTTTGAGGAGTATTGGAGTTAGATCATCACTAAAGTTCTTGCAGAATTCACCAGTGAATCCATTGGAACCTAGGTTTTTTTTTTTTTTAAATTGGTCCCGGAGATCGAACTCACAACCACACACTTGCAAGGCAGGTGCTTATGCTGCTGAGCTAAATCCCCAGCCCCTCTAGATTATTTTTTAATATCATTGACTGATCTTGGATTGTTCAGGATTTTTGTATTTTCTTGGTTCAGTTTTGATAGTTTTTTTTTTTTTGGTCTTTTTCCTTTTTATCGGTACCGGGGATCGAACTCACGACCGCCTGCTTGCAAGGCAGGTGCTTATGCCACTGAGCTAAATCCCCAGCCCCCCAGTTTTGATAGTTCACATGTATCTAAGAATCTATCCGTCTCTTTTGACTTTTCCATTGTATTAGAGTCAGTTTGTAAAGATGTTATCAGTGATCTTTTGGATTTCAGCAGAATCTATTGTGATTTCACCTTTTTCGTTTCTAATTGCATGGATTTGCGGCTTTTCTTATTTTAGTAATACTTACTGAAAGTTTGTATATTTTGTTTATTCTCCCAAAGAACTACCTCTTCAATTCATTACTTTCTGATTTTTATTGTTGTTTTCATTTCAGTTTCATTTATTTATGCTCTGGTCTTTATAATTTGCTTCTTCATACAAGCTTTGGATTTTAATTGTTCTTTTTTTCCCCCCAGGACCTTGAAGTGTATCATTAAGTTAATTTATCTGAGCTTGCTCTGTTTTTCTGATGTGAGAATTGACTGCTATAAATTTTCCACTTAGGACTGCTTTCATTGTGTCCCATTTGTTCTGGTATATAGTACTTGCATTATTGTTCAATTCTAGGAAGTATCTATAATTTCTTTAGTGACACATTGATTTTCAAGAAGGTATTTAATTTCCATGTGTTTTTGTAGTTTCTTTTGCCATTGATTTCTAGTTTCATTGCATTATGATTTGGTAATATGCATGGATGGGGTAGTTTCATTTCTTTTGCATTTACTTAAGCATGCTTTATGGGCTAGTATGTGATCTGTTTGGAGAAAGTCCCATGTGCTGTTGAGAAGAATGGGTGGAACACTGTGGATGTCTAATATGTAAGTAGCCTTTCTTGTTTCTTTTTTGGCTTGGAGTCTATTTTGTTTGAAATTAGGACAGTTACTTCTGCTTTTTCTTGGTTCCTGTTGCGTAGAATATTGTTTTCCATCTTTTGATATTTAATTTGTAATTTTTTGCATTAAATGTGTTTCTTGTATATTGTATCATTGATTTTTGTTTCTTGATCCATTCTGCTAATCTGTCTGTGTCTTTTGATCAAAGAATTGAGACCATTCACATTGAGAGTTGTTACTAATAGGTATTGAGTTGTTCCGATCACTGTGTTATTTTCCTGTTGCTCATTTCTTTATTTTTCATTTTGTTAACGATTCATGCTGCCAAGTATATTATTCTTTTCGACTTATTGGCATTGTTGGCTTCATTATTTCTAAGGTATCATTGAGAATTTTTGTAAAATTCATGGTGGTCATGAATTTCTTGGTGCTTCTGTCGTGGAAATACCTTATTTCTCTGTCAATTTTGAAGGAAAGTTTTGCAGGATATCTTAAGTCAGGGTTGAAAGTTGTTATCTTAGGGCATGAAACACTTCGCTGCAAGCTCTTCTGGCTTTTATTTAGGGTTTGCATTGAGAAGTCTGCTGTAAGTCTAATAGATTTGCATATAGATGTGATGTGTTAGTTGTTTTGTTTTTGTTTTTCCTTTTTTGCTGTGTAATTCAGGCTGGCCTTCAACTTCAACTGTGGAGCCCAGGCTGGCCTTGAACTTGTAGTTGATCCTCCTGCCTCAACCTCCCTAATGCTGGGATTACGGGCATACATGACTGCACCCAGCTTATGTTCCCTTTTAATGGCCTTGAAGATTTTGTCTCTGTGATAGACTGTGGTACTTTGAGTATAATGTGGCACAGTGGGTTCTCTTTTCATCATGTCTATTTGAGGTTTTGTATGTCTCTTAACTTGTCTGTACATTTATTTCTTTCTGTACATTTGGGAAGTTTTCCGCCCTTACTTCTGTGAACAGGTTTCATGTCATTTGTGTTGTCTTCTGATTTTTTTCACTTATTCCAGTTACTCTTTCATTAGTCTTGTGTCATCTTACAGCTGTTGGATCCATTTTTATGTTTTCTTGTTGTTAAGATGTCTTTGAAGGCTTTTGGTATCTTAATTCTGAATTTTGTCCTCACATTGGTTGCTTCTGCTGCCCATACCTTCGATTTTTAATCTCTTGGATTTCTGATTGAAACTTTTTCATGAAGTCTACTTCTTTGCTAAACTGATCATTTATGTTTTGTATTGTTATTTAGCTCATCTAGTTTTTTATCAGCGCTATCTTAAAACTTGTGGGTCCTTTTGTTATTACTTCCATTATATAGTTAAATCTCCTGTGATCTCACTTAGTACCTCTTTGATCTATTTTCTAACCTCTGTTAGCCTTTTTTGTAACTCAGTCGATCGTGTCTTGTGGTATTATCTCCCTTGATTCCTACTGAATGGGCTTTAGGGGTAGTGGGGCGTTAGGAAGTCATAAAATGATTCTGTTGCCTTGTCTGCTCTTATTTCTACTGTTTTTATGTTACTTTTATTTTGTCTTATTCTAGGGTTTATGAAAGCTTATAGTGTAAAAACTTTGTCAGTGTAGAGATCTCTTTTGTGGATTTTGTTCATTTATAATTTGGGTTTCTCATATGAGATTAAACCATACAACATTTAAGCTTGGGTATCGTGATTTATTTCAGTTAGTTAGCATTATGGTCTCAAGGTGCTTCCATTTGCTTACAAATAACTCAAGCTTGTCTTTTTTATGGCAGAGTGGTACTCCACTGTGTGCACCACATTTTTATCTGCTCATCTGACATAGAAGTCACTTTCAAGATTTAGCTGTTACGAATTGTGCTACTGTAAACATGGGGATGTATGAATCACTATAATATGATGTTCTTAACTGTTTGGGGGAGAAACCTAGATGTGGAATAGCTGAGCCTCATGGAATTTCTAGTTTTAACTTTTTGAGGAATCTCTGTACTGGTTTCCCTAGTGATTGTACTGAAATTCAAATTATGGAAAATTAATGTGTGCAACTGAAACTTTATAAAATACTCTCTGCATTTTGTTTAGACCAGCATGTTTTGGAAATTCGATCTTCATTCATCATCCCACATAGACACACTTCTAGAAAGAGAAGATGTAACACTGAAGGAGTTAATGGATGAGGAAGATGTTTTACAGGAATGTAAAGCTCAGAACCGCAAACTTATAGAGTTTCTGTTAAAAGCAGAATGTCTGGAAGATTTAGTCTCATTCATTATAGAAGAACCACCTCAAGACATGGATGAAAAGATCAGATACAAGTAAGAAAATTCAATCTTCTCTGTAGGGTGGGACAAAGTGAAGTGGGAATAGACGATGCTAGTCCTTGCTAAGACTTAGACTGCCCTAGGGTCCCTGTAACTGCTGACAGAATGTTAAGATGTTCAAGAGTGACAGTCTCAGTGGGGCATGTAGTCTGTTTGAGAATTAAGTCCAACAAATCACAGGAGTCTAAAAGTGACTTCTGCATTTCAGTCGGAATGTTTTGTGGGAAGCCTGCATATTTTAAATAGTGATAACCAGTTTCTTTAAAATAGTAACACCCTTTAGATATCTTCACCACTTTACCGATAGGAAGATGTTATGTGATTGCCCAAGATAGCACTGCATACCTGACTTGGAGCTTGGGTTGTGAAGAGTTTTTTTTTTGTTGTTGTTGTTTTGTTTTTTTGTACTAGGGATTGAACTCACGATCTTGCACTTTCCAGGCAGGCTCTTACCTTGCTGAGCTAAATCCTGGCCTATGAAGAGCATTTTTGATACAGTAACTAACTTCTGTTACTTGAAAAACATTAAAGCATGTGTCTTGGAAAACTTTAGTGAAGCTATATTTAAACAGGTGACACCATGCATAATTATTGCAGATATATCTATTCATTACTAATTTAATATGCTTACAAACAGAATGACACAGTACAATGAGAATCTTTTATCACCATCACTTATAACACTTTTTTTGTATGTACTCCTAGAAGCCCTTTGTTGTGATTGCTCTATTGGTATGTTAAGTGTCAGTTGTTTGGTTAGTTCTCCATATCTAACTGTTGAAATAGCTGATATACCTGCCCCCTCATCAAGAAAATAGAACAACTTCTGAACAAAAGTTTGTTGATGCATTAAGTATACTTAATGGAATAGAAGAATCATGGCCTTTTAATTGTTTTTCCTTTCTCCTTCCTCCCCTGTCTCTTTTTAGATTTCTTTTTTTTTCTCTTGGGAAGAATTATGCTGTCAAGGAATTAATATTTGTTAATACCTTCAGATTACCGTTAGCTTGCATGTTCAAGGGTGCCATAGTCTCTGCTAGCCCTTAATATCGATGCCTTAGGAAAGAAGGAAGAAAGAAATTTGACCATAAATATACTAACATGTTTCTATTCTCCAAAGATAAGATACCCCGCTGCTTTGGAATTCCATCCACAGTGAAGTAGCATATGTATGAGTGCATGAGTCTAGCCATCTGGAACGGGTATATACATCCTGTTGTGCGGAATCTGAGAACTTGGGCAAACGACTTACTTTTCCTCATGTGCTGAATGAAGCCAAGAGTTCTGTAACTGGGAAAGAGTAGATAGGTATACTTAATGTGAAGTGCTTGTTTTATCAAGAAGAAATGACCCCCCCCATAGCCCCCTCCCCCTATTATGACACATGATGCATTCTGCATGTTTGGCAGTTATGTTGTTTATTAGTGTTTTTGTGCTGCCCTGAGTGCATAGCATCTGAGACTTCTGGACGGCAACTTTTGGAAGGGTCATGATTTGAGTTGGACTGAGAAGTATTCTGCATCTAGCCCAGGTAGAGTCACCAGCAGAATGTAAACTACCTTGGATGACCTGAATACCTAATTAGCACAGAGACATTTTTCAGATGGAATTTGAAGCCTTTTCAGGATTAAGATTGACCATAGTCATTCAAAAACATTAAAGATTTTATAGTTTTGAGATGATGGCGTAGTGGCTATATTGGGGTGAATCAGGGTGAAAAATAAACCCATAGTTTATCAGTTAAGTCCTCTGGAGAAAATAGGAAATGAGAGGTACTGCTGAAGGTGGTGGGATGGGAAGAGGGAATTTAGGAAAAGGTCTTATTAGAAGGCCCCATTTGTCAGAGCCATGCAGGAAATGAGGGGGCACCATGTGGGTACTTGGTGGGTACTTCAAGCCAGAGGAAAGAGCAAGTGTAGAAGCCTTCAGTTTTTGCCTTGGAACAACAGAACAGCCAGAGAAAAGTCAGCCTCATGAATGGAGGAAAACAGGAGACAGGACCAGGGATGAGGTCAGAGTGGCTCAGAACAGGTCACACAGGGCCTGGTTGGCTCAGTTAGGACCTTCTCAGGATGAAGTAGTAAGTCGTCAGAGGATTTTGTGGGGGGAGGATACCAGCAGTTGAACTGAGGGCCTCAGGCTTGCCAGGCAGGAACTATGCCACTGACCTGTATCCACACCCCCATCAGAGGGTTTTGAGCAGTGGGTAACTTTGCCTGGCTTTGTTTTTCAAGGTCATTTGATCTGTTCTAGGGCTCTCAACATGAAGGGTGGGAGGAGAAATGTCTGCAGTGAGTGTTAGTGAAAAAGAAGAGTTGAGTGGCCTGACAGATGACAGATGTGTTAGATGAAGTTAGAAAGGGTATGGCCTAAGAGAGGAATTGGTCAAGAATGAGTGCCAGGGTTTGGCCTGAGCAGTTGAGGGGTACAGTGGCTTTATAGCACTAAGGATAGATGCCAGAGAAAGATCAGGTGTTTGGCTTTGGCTCTGTCCATTTTGAGATTTCTGATTGGTGTCAAATGGAGATGAGAAATAGCAGAAGGTAGATAGGGGCACGTGATGCCTTTAGGCGGGGTGAGATCACTTCCAGAGAGTTTAGTCAGGTGACATCTGGAAGCAAAGGTCTCAGAGGCTGGAGAGCTGTGACTGGACAGTGTTCCATACAGGGATTGAGGACTGGCCAGAGTTAAAAGCACAGCCAGGAGGTGTTGCCACCTTGAAAGTCACAGAAGACAGGCTTCAGGGATGAGAATGGGACAGTGCTTAGGCTCTGCTCCCAGGAAACCCCTGGGTTTACTGTATAGAATTATGGGTATGGTCATTGCAGGTCCTTTGGAGTGCTCAAGGGAAAGGCCTGGCTGTACAAGGAGGAATATAAAACGAGGAGAAATTACACCTTTATGTATTTTCTGTAAAGGACCACAGAACAAGTGTTCAATCAAAGCAGATGTGGAATCTGTGGAATTCATTTTGTTTTGCTAAACAGAAGAGATGATGGTCTGTGTATATGCTGGTCAAGTGGTACCCACCGAGGTTGTGGCTATGGTACTGTGGTACTGTGCATTGGAGCAAGTGAAAGTGAATACAACTGAGAAGACAAGTAGAGTGTGGTTTGGGAGCAAGGAAATGAGGGTCCCAGGAGCAAGTCAGAGTAGGGTAGGGCTGGGTTCTCTTGTTGCTTTTTTTTTTTTTTAAGCCAGTCAAATTTAGCAGTTATATGTATACCAACTTTAGTGACACTAACGTTAATAAGTTCTGATAACGCATTGCCATCGGGCCAGCCTCTCTCGTTGCTTTTGTCTCCTCAGTATAAGGAGTGCATGATGAGGAGAGAGGTCTTGGTGAAGGTTAGGGTGGAGGGCACCTTTGGGTGCTTGAGATTTACTGATTTCTATAGAGGGAGGGAGAGACACTAGCTCTAACCTGTCTGGAACCTAAGTCAGCCTTCTATATAGTGTCTAGCTAGATCCCACAATATCTGCTTCTTTAGTAGATCATATCTACAACTCATCCATGAATTGTAAACAGTTTTAAAAAATGTTCTGTCTTGCTGTGGAGCTTTTACTAACAAATCAGAACACACTTGTGCACTGGGATCGAGTTGTCTGCCATTTACTAATCCTTTATTTGCTGACAATTTTCACACTGATACGATTAGGGCATTGTGTCACCTTGGTCCTTTACAGCGACAGTTCTGCATTTTGATAGTAGAAAATATAAAAAGGAATGCAAATAGCTATCATTCATTAAAACACTTTTTGCCAAGCCCTCTTCCTAGTGTTTTTCCCAGTCCCTTTTCCAGAAAGCAGGGACTGTTGTCCTTTTTATGAAACTGGAAACCAAAGTACAGAGAGGTTAAATGACTTGCCCAAAATGTACATCTTGAAAATGGTAGAGGAGGATTTAATCTAGATAATGTGATTCCCTGTACATCTAAACCTGTATACTCCCATCTCTGGGATAATGGCTGTTTTGCAGTTTATATTATGGCATTTTTGAGCAGGTAAGTTGCATAAAGTGAGAAAGGCTTTAATTAAGCCAGAAGCCTCCAGAAGATAGGTATTTGGTAATGTGATCTTCATGCCTACAGATTTGCCAGATCTGTTTTCTTTCTTTGTAGTCCTGCTTCTATAGGTTCATTTTGGGACATTCTCATACTGTGGTCTCATCCCAGACCCTCTCAAGTGCTGTGATATTCTGTATGTTGTTAATTGCCCCTGTGTGAGCTAGAGGTTTCATACCAGGCAGCCACCTGCTTGCCTTGGCTGTCTCCAGGTGTGTTGTACGCATTTTTGCTTACAGTCTTCTCTTGTCATTGGGCTGTTTTATTACTACCCTGTCCTGGTTAGCATTTCAGCTTGCCACTCCTGGTGACTGGGAATGTGGCTTATGGCTGCCTGATAAGGAGTTGGCTCAGTAAAGTGAATTATGGTGAGATTGAGTATCATCTGGGTTGACGTAGATCTCTACTGTGACTGTTGAAATAATGAGAAATAGTTGGCGATAAAATGAGTCACTGGGAAAATGGAGCTGCTGTCTGTTTTTTAGAGTGGATAGTCTCGTTGTCAGAGGAACATGAGTTTGGATGGATATAGGTATTTCTAAAACTGAGGGGTCTCTAGAAGAGCCAGCGTACGCATCCAGAGCAGATACCCTGCTGCTTTCTGTGGGCCTATCTCCTACAGAGTGAAATGTTAGTGAATAAGGACAGTGGACTGATGTCCCTACCAGTCCCAAAAGATGAACAGTGTAGAGAGCATGGTGTTTTGTATATAGCTTTCCCCCAGGATAACTAAGACTCATGACCTTTTTCAGTCCTTTAATTATACTAGGATATTTATTCTGCTAAGGTACAATGTAGACTGGACATTTGATAGCATATCAAAACAACTTTGTAGTACTGTTTGAAAGCAGCCTAAAAATAGTAGCCAGTCTAGGTGCCTGCAATATGGCAGTGTACAGTGCAGTTTCCTGGAAACCAGTGTCCCTTCTCAGTTGCCTTGTATACTGTGTCACTGCCGTGCCAAAGTAGGTGGCTAATAACCTTTTCCTCCAGCCTCTGCCCTCCTTGGTAATTGCGAAGGCCCATCTCTGTGGCAGGAGCTCCTTGGGCTCCTTGGTGTATTCTAGTTTCACTTGGAAAATATTATTAAAAAAATTTTTAGGTAAAATAGACAATTCATTAGTCCACAGCATGGATTTTAATGATTATCTATCTAATCCCTAGTAGATTATTTTGTTGGTTTAACAAAAGTTTAGGAATCCTTTCTGACTTGTATTTTACATTGTGTAATTAAACTGTCACTATAGATGATGATACTGTCTTGTTCTTCTAGGTATCCAAATATATCTTGTGAGTTGCTCACTTCTGATGTCTCCCAGATGAATGATAGATTGGGGGAAGATGAATCCTTGCTAATGAAATTATATAGCTTCCTCCTAAATGATTCCCCTTTGAACCCACTACTTGCCAGTTTCTTCAGCAAGGTGCTAAGTATTCTTATCAGCAGAAAACCAGAACAGGTAAATATTGTTTACCAGAAGGTAAGTATCAGGGCTGATCATCCTCAAGGTGGTCCCCAAGAATGTTGTTGTGTTCAGAGTTTACTTGAAGTTCAGGTTCTGTAATGTAATGTATTTCAATCCTTAAACATTTGAAGTACTCACATATTTACCAGATTTGTGCATTAATGAATATTTTTCATATGGCATATTTTAAGTGCCTCAAATCTCAAATTTGTTAGCACACTTCAGTTTCCTTGTTTGACATGTAATTTGAAGCATGAGCATTTTGGTTACCCATTGGTAAAGATAGCTCTGGGAGCAGTTGAGTGTGTGAGCAGAGTCTAAATGACCCTGGGTATCAAACAAATGCTTTGGTTTGTACAAAATGATTCTATTTTGAATCTACTCTGAAACTTAAGTGTTAGCTTGAGATATCTAGATATAGAGGATCATATCTATGTGTAGCTCTGCAGTCCTCTCCAGGAGTACCTGTCAGAAATCCATACTTCACTGTTCTGGTTGCAGCTTCCTCTTTCTTCTTGTTTCTCTTCCTACTCTTGTCTGTCTGTCTCTGTCTCTTTTTTTTGGTACTGAGGATCGAACTCAACGACCTTGTGCTTGCAAAGCAGGCGCTTACGTTGCTGAACTAAATCCCTGGCCCATCTCTCTCTCTCTTCCCCCGTCTGTCTTGTCTCTGTCTCTCTGCTTTGTTTTGTTCTTAATTCAGGTGTACTCAGGAGGGCAATTTCCCAGATATGATTTATATGCATGTTTGTTGCTGCCTCAGTACACCTGCAAATTGTGCACATTCTTGAGTCTCCCCCAGACGTAGCAAATCAGAAATTCTGAGGATGAGGTTCACAAATCTAATTCACTGTGATGCATACCAAAATTCAAAAACCACTGTTGCAGTGGATACTGGTGTAAAGAAAGATCTACTTACTAGAAGATTTTGGTCTGTTTATAGAAATAGGTACCTAAGGAACAACTTGAGCCTCAGATAGTGAAGTACAGTCTATAACAGACTTGTCAGAGATATGGTAAGCAGAGGTGTGTTGACTGAGGGTGGCAGAGTTCAAACCCTAGGGCCTGGCATACTTTGTGGTGGAAAATAGGCTTCTGTGACCTGCCCTTGCTGTCAGTACAGCAGACTAGAACTGTTTGGGGTCAGTATGTTCTGTCTTATGCCAAGGCGAAGTGGATGCATACTTTATTTTAGAAGGATGATGCCGTTCTTTTATGCTTGTAATCAAGTAGGTAATTTCCCTGTTTTACAAATAAGATTCTTCTCTCTTAGGTAATAATACCCAATTCTTGGTTTTTAAAAATAATTGCCTGCCAGGTGTGTTGGTCCATGCCTATAATTTCCAGCACTCGGAAGACTGAGACAGGAGTGTAGCTGCAAGTTCAAGGACAGCCTGTACTACATTGTGAGGCCCTGTCTCAAAAAAAAAAAAAAGATTGTCTTCTGTTTTTTTCCTTTTGCTGAGAAATAAACGTATTAGTAGCTATTTTAGGAGCATGTAAGTCATCCCATCGTCCCAGTACCAGTTAGATCTGAGATGGTTGTGGCCATCATTTGAGACATGTATAATTATGCTTCACATCTGTGCTATTGGAACCCACTTAAGACTTCTGAAGCTCTGAGTATTTGTCTTGGACCTAAAAGTCAGAGTGTGTCACAGTGGTGACACGTGTCATTTGAACATTCAAGACAAGAGCCCTGTGAGCCTGTTGCTCATTATACTTCTCTATTCTGATGGTAATAGGAGGATATACCCCTTTCTCTTTTAGCTACAGAGAAAGGCCAGACTTGGCACCCCTATATTCTTTGAGTTGTAAGTATAAATAATAATATTTCCTATTGTATGCTAGAGAGGCAACGACCAACTAATGACAGAAATTCAGTTTTAAGTGGCTTAGCCAGTGAAGATATCTTTTATCCCAAAAGAGTAGGGAGTTTAGCTGTAAGGCTTCTTCAGTGTTACATGGTTTAGTCCCTCAGCAGTATCATCTGTAGTACAGGGCTTGTCCTTATTGTACTGTACACAGCACTGGCTGATGTTTGTACCTTTAGGCTCTGGATTCAGTGTTTCTGCTATTGAATTGTGAAATATTTTGATCACATGTGGCTTTTTCCTCTTTTTTGTCCTTTCAATTGTGAGTGGAATAATTATGTCAGTTCTTTTTTTTTTTTTTTTTTTTTTGGTCTTTTTCGTTTTTATCAGTACCAGGGATCAAACTCACGACTGCCTGCTTGCAAGGCAGGCGCTTATGCTGCTGAGCTAAATCTCCAGCTCCAATTATGTCAGTTCTTAATGGCTATGTCATAATATTTAGCCTCATTGTCTAGAGAAGCAGTATATGATGGTTAGTCCTATATTTATACCCAATTATGTGAAGCAGTTCTAAGTTGTCATTTTTGATTGTTGAACTTTTTGTATGGGATAAAGGAAAGCCCATGGCTTTTGAAACATCTGAGTAGATCTGAGTTTAAATTCCAAGGCAACCCTTTTAACTCTAGAAGATATGTAACTATGTGAGCCTTAGTTTCTCATCTGTAACATTGGTTTATTCAGTCCCCATCTTTCGGGGCATGGTGAGATTCTGTGACAGCAGCTGCCACACTGGCCGTGCTGCTTTTTGGGACAAGTGGGGTTTTGATAGTTGATGAGTACACACAGACAAATCAGAAGGCACACAAAACTGTGCAGCAGAGCAATCACCCTCTTCTTCCAGTGCAGAGGAGATCCAGGACAGAGTTCTCATTTCCATTGCTATTTCACCCTCCCTCAGCGTGGCTCTCAGCCTCTTCTTGCACCAGTACCCTTCTTGTGTTACTCAGGTGAATTGCTGAAATGAAATCCAACTCACCTGTGGCTAGCAGGTGAGTTAGTTACTTTGAAGTAGAACTCTTTATGTTTTGAATTTTTTTCTTAGTTGCTAGAGCATTATTAGGATTTTGAATATTCTATTATCTAATGGAATTGTTTTATGTCCATGAACTATAAAATAGTGTAGTCTCTTATTCTTTATAGGTTTGCTAAATTTTTGACTCCCATTTCTTGGGAATTAACTATGAAAAAGAAAAAATATTGTCATGTTGTATTTCTTAGGGATGTGTGCTCTTTGGGGAGATTTTATGCATATTGTAACTATTAGCCAGACTTTTCAGTTTAACATCTAATTACTAATTCAGCACTTGCCTTTCCTCAGCTTGAAGTAGTGATGAAATTTTGAGGGGGTAGTGATCAGGATTTGAAACATTCTAAAATTTTTAGTTTACAAGTTGCATATCTTTCAGTTTTTAATTTTTTCTCCTCTAGATTGTGGATTTCTTAAAGAAGAAACATGATTTTGTAGACCTTATAATAAAGCATATAGGAACTTCTGCTATTATGGATTTGTTGCTCAGGCTTCTGACATGTATTGAGCCTCCACAGCCCAGGCAAGATGTGCTGAATGTGAGTAGAGCTTTGACTTGTTGTTGAGAGGTGGGGCTGCTGGGGTGTGGGCTACTGGGCTACTGTGTGTTGGGGGTCGGGTGGGGGAGTAGGTAGAGAGGTTGAGATCTCATGGGATTTTGGTTCATATCAAAGGGTTGTCTAGGGGATTTAGGAGTAAGGGGAGAGTTGTTCAAATTTAGAACAGTGTCAGTTTTCCAGAACTAGGATTCAGGATGTGTACATTCCTAGATCTGTAGGATAGTGTAAACAGTTCCTTCCTCTTTGCTGGTTACTGTTTTTTGGAGATGGAGGTAGAATGGATTGAGGATTTGTCATAAAGCAGTAGGTCTGCTAGTAAGTTACTGCAAAAGTAAAAAGGCTGGCACTTTTAAATGTCATCTGAATATGCTCTAAAGCTTTCCTCAGAGGAAAAGACTGCCTCTGAAATTCAGAATAGAGAATGGTACTTAGGAGTAAAAAAAGTACATAGAAAGAGACATTTTAAAGTTCAGGGAGATTGTGATTTTAGGATGTATGATGTGTGCCTTTAGAGTAGAGGGTTATGCTATGTATTGCTCTTCGCAGTTTTGTTGAAGCTCAGAGAACAGCACACTTGTTACCCAAAGTATATACATTAGGTAAAATTGGTCCTGGAAGGCAGGAGCAGGTGACTATCCTGAAAATAGGATTTCTCATCTGTACCTTTTCTTTTTGTTGTGTCCCTTCTTATCCTACTTCCTCCTTATCTTCCTCCTTATCCTACTTCCTCCTTATGGAACCAGTCCATATCTTTTCTGTCTGTAACTCAGGAACCTTGAAATCTACTCATCTCTTTGCAAATGAGTTTTGTTAAAAATGCTACCTGTGACGACCTAAGATAGCAGGAGAGACAGGAGGCCTGTCAGGTGGTATCCAGACTAAGCTGAGCTGGGCAGGCCTGTGTTTGTGTGACCCATTTTGAAGAATCCAGCTGAATATACCTACTGGTCTTTGACTAGAGTCCCTTAAATTGGGACACCCGATTCTGTTTAGGTGTTTCTGTAGAGTTGAGTCTTTTCTCAAAAGGTTCAGAATTCTGGGAGACTTGTTGAGGACAAATAGGTGGTGGGTCCCCTTTATTTTGGATTATTATGGGAAGGCTTATTCAGTATGTTTTAGTGTAACAATTTTATTCCTTTGGTTGCCTCTGGGTTGAGTTTTAGAGCCCATTTCCAAGGAAGTAGATGTGCTTCTGGAAAGAAAATGGTGACTAAGAAAGGGATAGGTTAGAAGAAGTTAATTAGAAATTCTCATGTCTTACTTTCATTTGGGGGGTCCACAATGAGGAATTAGCTCAAAAGTAGGCTTGGAATGTGGGTCCTTGTCAGTAGCTGTAGATGGGGTAAAGCTCCAGAGACCTGTCAGTTCATTACTCACACAGTTTTCTGACTTCTCCCATGTTGGTCAGGAGTACCCACTCCTATACACAGATATCTATATTATTTTCTCTTTTAGGATACTGTTACTCAAAGTGTGATCTCAAACCTTACTTGTGGGTTTGTTATAATTTCAGATCTCACCCGTTGCCTATGAATCAGAATTTATACCTTAACAAAAATTCTAAGTGATTGATGCTCACATTTAAAACTTTTTTGTTTTAAGTGGTTTTTTTTTTTTTTTTTTTTTTTTTTGGTATCAGGGATTGCACTTGCCAGGCAGGTGCTTATGCTACTGAGCTAAATCCCCAGCCACCACATTTAAAAAATTTTTAAATCATAGTTGATATATTTCACTTAAGGAGCCAGAGACAGCATCAGGTTTTCTCTGTGCCTGTAGCAAATTGTGTTTGATCTTCCCACTTGCCATCCAGTTTCTTATCTTCTCTTACCTTTGAGATTTTTTTTTTAATGTCCTTTTTGTATAGCAACTTATCTTGTTTATTATGGTGCTTCAGTCCCTTTAGAACTAATACTAAGCCAACTGATTTTTCCTTAATTTTTCTTATGCCAGTTCCCTTGATAGTTTTATTCACTGCATTTCACAAAGATCTAAAAGAGATTGCTGTATTTATGATAATAACTTTTTGCCAGTATGGCTGAGCAGGTGTGTTCTGTTTCTAACATAATTTCCTGCAGGGGGGATTGTTTTTGGAGTCTACAAATTCCTTTTTGTTTGTCTTGTGCCTGCTGGATTTTCTTTTTTCTTTTTTTTTAATCCAGGGATTATGTTACATATTGCTCTTCTCAGTTCTATTGAAGCTCAGAGAACTACATACTGTTACCCAAAATATATACATTCTTTCCTTCTGAATGCCTCTTCCCCATCCTAAGTCAGATCTTAGAGTGCTGAATATCTGGGAGTTAGTCTGTGGCTGAGTAACTGTTGTATAGAAATTTAGTATGTGTGTACTGTAATTTGGGGGAGTTGTTGGTTCCTTGGTTACTGTTAATATATTCACTGGAATTTTCCTTGGGGGACTTTTAATTTTCTGTAGTGTTCAAAGTCCAGAGAAACGTGTAACATTCTACTTAAAATGTGATGGATATTTCCAAGTATGTTAATCTTCATTGGGGCTTGAACAAGAGCCACTCATTGCTATGATTGCTTCTACAATGTGTTTTACAGTGGTTAAATGAGGAGAAAATTATCCAGAGGCTTGTGGAAATAGTTCATCCATCGCAAGAAGAAGATGTAAGTTGTCCTGTGTAACTATAAGTTTTATTTTAAGAAAGAACTATGTTTATTCAAGCACTGACATACTTGTGTAAATGTGCAGGTGGTCAGAGAAGATATGTAGAACAGTGATAATCTGTGTTCTTGAGTTGGCAGTCTTCTAAACAGTATTACATATCCAGGAAGTTTCCAGAAATGCAAGGCAGGAGGTGCCTGAGTTCTACACTGTCTCCTCCCAGAGCTAGGGTTTCATGCTGACCTTGCCTGCCTTCTCTACAGATTTTTGCACACACTTATGATGTGGCCATGTCTACATTTTTTTTTTCCTGCTTTGGTGAAACCTTTGCAGTTTGCACAGCAGGATCTTGGTCACCGCAGAGCCCCTGTAGTTTCTTGGTTGTATACTTCCAGATCCTACTCTTTAAGTTCCAGCAGGCTTGGCCTTTGTCATGGGTATTTTGAATAGTACAATGGTATTGAAGCTGAAGTTAGAGGTTATAGCCTGAGCCTTGTGCTAAGGGGTTAGCTATCAGGACAAATGAGTATGTGTTTCTGAGGTCTATAATGTTATCACTTCAAGTGCCAGGCCAAGCCTTGGTAAATCTTTTTATCTACAGACATGGCAGTTCTGTGCTCAATCTCATGTCTACAAAGAAGGTGATTTAATAGTGAAAAGGATGTGTTTTGCAGCCTGAGGTTCTCTTTCCACGCCTCTTGGTTACAGGTTAGAATGAAGAGTTAAGCATGGTAGAGGAGCAGAGCAAAAGAAGTGTGTAGCCAGAAGATACTCACTTTCCAAGTATGAATTTTCTGTGGAGGTTGATCTAGTCTCTTTCCCTCAGGCCCATTCAAAAGCTTTTGGTACCTGGCATGTATTTAAATTGGGCTTTTAAAGGGAGCTTTAAAGGGTATCACTTTTTCCTTGTTCCTTTTGGAACAATGCAGTACATACTTCCTTGCAACAGTTACTACAGTTGCCAGAGCTTCTTGCATCCCATGGTATGTCTGTACTGGGTGCACTTGTCTAGAAAGAGCTCTCAGGCTAGTTGAGATGTTAAGTCCTCCCTCAGTGGAGAACGCTGTCATTCTAGTAGCACAGTACCCATATGCTACATGTTTGGCCAGTGCAGAGTATGGTGACCAACAATGTGAGCAAGGCTTACCCCATGTGTGAGTGATAAATGTCTGCAGACAAGGCTTGCTCCTCATTAGGTTCATGTTCTATAGCACAGCTTGATTGCATAACAAAATATTAGGCCTCTCTGCAAGGTCTAGAAGAATCAGTAAAGGAGAAGCCTAATTTTGAAGCAGGATTTTTGAGGAAGTAAAGCATTATGAATCAACCTTTCTCTATGTGACTTACAAGAAACTTAACTTAGCCTTTTGGAATGAAGTCCTATTGATACTACTACTTTGTATTAAATGATAAATTATGTGGTAAAACTGTACTGACCAGTGACATTTATTAAGGAAATGTTAGGCTCCTGATTCTCGTCTGTGGATGTGGATACTCTGGTTTGTGTTGCTGCCTCTGCTGGAGTATGCTTTTGCTCAGCTTTGAATGCAGCTGTTTGACATGGCACAAAATATAATGAACATGGATGGTGAGGTTTCTAAGCTGTCCTGTGATAGCTTACAAATACAACCAGAGGACACAGTTTCTTAGCTTTGCTATCTTTTACTAAAGCTGTATGTGCTGAGGAGGTAGGGTAGCGGTTTGTTTATTTAAAGTCAGTTTGTCTGTCTGTGCTAAGAAGAGTATGTTTTGGGGCTATGTTCAAGTATTGTAGAAATTTTTCCTTATCAGAATTTTGATCACATTTCCCTACACATAGTAAGATATACTGTACACTGTTATGAAGTAAAGTTCATTATTAAACTGGTAAAATAAAATGCTTCTTCCTTGTTTTGGGTATAACTGCTCACTGGTATTTATAGCCACTATTAATTTGTATTAGGTTTTTAGCACTTTCCCCCTTCCTTTCTTTTTATAAAGGTAACTTTTAACAAACTTTATAGCTGAAATTGTTTTTTTTCTTTAGCGACATTCAAATGCCTCACAGTCACTTTGTGAAATTGTTCGCCTGAGCAGAGACCAGATGTTACAAGTTCAGAACAGTACAGAACCAGATCCTCTGCTAGCCACTCTCGAAAAGTATGTTTTAAGTTCAGTTCTTGTTTTTCTCATTAATACCGTTTGCTGTGTTACTTTAATGAATGATTGCTAAGTGATATTCCCAGTATGAATGTCCTGCAAACACCTGTGGGTGGTGTGGATGTGGGAAACCTGTTTCCCGTCTCACAGCATTTGTGATATTCAGGGGAGACCGGTGGAAAGAAGATGAGTAACACTGATGCTTAGACAGAATCTCTCACTCACCCATAGAGTGGAATTGTGTGGAATGATCCTAAGGTGTGATTGGCCCATCACAGCTATGTCAAACACCTGCAAGGAACTCTTGATGGAGACTAGTCTTGTGCACGTATGAAATTGACCTATTTTGGTTGGCATTGTTTTTTGGAAGATCTTCCTAGGGTTTGTTTATTTTTGCGTCTACAAGGGGCAACCTAAACAGATCATATTGAAAGGAAGACACTTGAGAAATGGGATGCTATTTTTTCCTAGATCCACATATTGTCAGAAAGAATGTTTACTGTCAACATGAGCATGCATTTGACTAGCATCTAAACAGCTAAAAATTGCTTAACATGTTCCAGGTGGCTTGTGCAACTAGAGCTGGAAGTGGTACAGTCATGAGTGTATCACTGATTATTTAAGCTGCCCGGCAGTGAAAGATACAAATTATGGCCCTGTTGTGAATGTGCTAATAGACAAAATTGAGACATTACCCCACTTTGAATGTATAATTGGAGAGTACATATTAGGTCAGCATGAAGTATGAATGGTAGTCTTGCTGCATTTTACTTCAGTTGGTTTTCCTTTTTAGTCTTCCTATCTAGTGAGGCTTTTTTTTTTTGGTGCTGGAGATTACTTTTTTGTCAAAGTAAAACACTAGTCTGTCTTATTGCTTTGCTAAGACTGAGATAAGTAAGGAACAAGTTAGAGATGATGTAGCTTATTTTAAACCGTGAACAGTAAAGTTACTATTGCCAGCATGCATTGCAGAAAAGCATAGATTTGATCCATTTCCTGAAGTAGCAAAACTGCAACAGATTACAAGCTGCTAAGTAAAATGGCATATATACTCCTTTTAATCATACAAGATCTTCTGCATTCACATGCTAATTATATTAGGTTGAACCTTATAAAATTTCCATTTGAGTAACGTAAAAAAACAAAATATTAGCAATTTCATATGGTTTAGCACAATGCTATCCAACACAGATAAGAGTTACATGTAGTTTAATTTGGGGGGGGGGTACAATGTCTTGAAATCCGGTCTGTATTTATACTTCGAACAGGTCAAATCAGATAAGTTATATTTTGACTGTTGATTGGTAGCTGCATGTGTAAAGTGGTCAGTATGCTTTACATTATTCAGTAGTAATCTCTTGAGTTCATTTGGGCCACCACCACCATCCACACACCCTTATTTGAACCAAATGTGGGAGCCACAGAGCCATTAAGACTGTGTATGTGCTTGAGTTAATATTTCAAAACAATATCTGTAGTCCTGAGTCAGACAACTGTAATTTTGGAAACAAAGACAAGTATATGTGTGTAACGTATGTCATAAAGTATTAGAGTGAATTTCTTCAAATACATGAACCTCATGAATCACTAGCCCTGCAATATCACTGAATATAAAACCTTCCCTGCACTTCGTAGTGGGGAGACTTTGTAACAATGCTTCCTCATCCCCCCCCCCCCCCATCTTTTAAAGCGAAAACCAACAGGGATTTATCTTAGTGGCATAAATGCACCTGCCAAGTGCAAGGTCAGGAGTTTGGTCTCCAGCCCCCCCGACCCCCCAAAAAAAAAATTTTAAAAAGTGAGAAAACCAAACCTAATACCTGACACACTCCTATGTTGTGGCAGTTTTTTTTTAGTGTCTGTTGATTGAGAAAACAGTGACGGGGCTTCTATGAATTTGGAAAACTTTTACTAATCATGATAGCATCTGTATGTATTGAACAAATACATTACATTCTAATGACATCTTTAATAAATAATGTAATTGTTGTACAATATAGTAAGAACTTTCTGGCAACACATAGTGCACCGTTAAATTACCTGTGTCAACCCACAAATGTGCATCGCTGTATATGTATGTAAACATCACTTTTACAGATAGGTGTAGGCTAGCATGTAAGGGTGTTTCAAATAGGTAAGATTAAAGAGCATGGTAGAATATCAGTGGTATCAGGAAATTTTCATTAAATGTTCTGAAGTATTTGATAATGAATATTTACCTTAGGATGCAATCTGGACCTAAATTGGATATATTCCGTGTATTTACTCTGGAAGAATTTAAAATTTGAAAGTACATGAAATTGTTATATAAGAATTGGATTGTGTGCCTCTTCATTCTGGATACTGAGTTTACAAGTTAGATTTGAGCTAGTTAGTTGTGTGAGCCATCATCCCAAAGATATGGATAAAGAACTTGCATACTTCATGCATAAACAATCTATCATAAATTTTACTAATACCTGTCTAGTACTCTTTGTTTTTAATAATAGGAAAGTAAATACAGAGTCTGCCAAAAATATATACATACACTTCAGGATTAAAAAAAATGTAAATATTTTAATACTAAATTTATTAAGACATCATGAGAGTAATACAAGTTACCTTTGGCCTCTATAATTATAAGAGTGCCCAAAGTGGTACCCATTAGCTTTTAGACTTTTATTTCTGCAATGAACTGCTGTTTGGATAACCTTGGTCATTGAGATTGCTGCACATGCATTTTCAATTTCTTCTCTAAGGGCTGGCAATGTAGTGGGTTTTCTGTGATATATGACATCCTCTAGGGTCCTCCATATGAGCATAATACCATCTGTTGACAAAATATATAATTTTCTTTTCCTGGAATATGTGTACATTTTTCTGGCAGACTGTGTGTTTTCTCTATCATGTAAATAAGTGCTTTTTTATCTAAAGAATTTGAAACCATTCCTTTGATCTTATTTGATAAGCTCACTGCTTCATTTTATAATTTCCTCTGTGTTTGATGGAAGTTGTATGTCTAGGTAGGACTGAGAATGTGTTGTTGAATCTTCTAAGTTTTTGCTGGTTATTTTGTTCTTCATTAGTAGAATTTCATTCATGAGTATGGCAGAAGTTTCAGTTTGTAGCCATGAAATAACTTGGGCCAGTTAGGCATTGCCTTCAGGCATCATTAGTTATAATACTGTGATTTTACGCTCTGATAGTAAGAATATTACAGTTGAATGAGGATATTATTACAGTTGTATGGTACGTACAGTTAGTTGCCTGTTGTGTCAGCCCCCTTACATTAAGGCTAGCCACCACCTCAAGAATATCCATAGTTGGGATCAGGGATATAGCTTAGTGGCATAAGTGCCTGCCTGGACCAAGTGCAAGGTCCTGAGTTTGATTCCTAGTACCACCAAAACCAAAACAAGCATACTTAGTAAAAGTCTGTTTTCCAGAGCTCAGTTCCAGATTTAATATTTATCCTGTAGATAAATGTATACTGTGCCTAATACAGCACTCTTTGGACTGGTGGTCTCATAGATAGTTTTAGTGCTGTTCTTGGAGTACTTGGAAACTACAAGATCTTTTAAAGTTAGGTTAAATACCTGATTTTTTACTTTTCTTCCAATAGAACAGTTCTCTGTTCCTTGTTGCTCTTGGGTTAAGGGAGATGATGTGCAAAACAGTATGGTTGTACCTTGGGGTTGATTGGCATCTTTGCCAGGTGAGCAACCAGGAGCAACCTAGCTGGCTTTGCACTGAGCTACTACCCCTATTTAAATTTTTTTATTTTGAGACAGGTTTTTCCTAAATTGCTCAAGCTGGGCTCAGAGTTGAGGTCTTCTTTCCTCAGCCTGCCAGAATACTGAGGTTACAGATGTGTGCTACCGTACTGACTAAGATTCTTTTTAATTTACATGCATTTGGAAAGTCACTGAGATCCAGAGAAACTGAGGTTTCCCTAGAGAATGTCCATATAAATTTAAGTACTGTACTTTGTTATTTGTGATCTTGTATGCATGTGAGAGAAGTGTAATGGAAGAGTCTGTAGAGAATGCTTTTTGGCAGTAGATTAGTCAGATCTATTTCACTGTACCATATTATTTTGACTTATCAAATTTTAATTGCAGACTAAAAGGTAACCATTGATGTTTGCCTTTTTGTCTGCTTTAAATCTTTGTTAATTATAATTCATACATTTGTAAGGCAACATTTATGGTTTCTAATTGGCCTTATCGACAATTTTATCTCCTTCTGTGGGGATGAAAGATTTTAAGTCCTACCAACCCTTAGCCATAATCACTACCACCACCTTGGTCTCAGGAAGAGGTAATTTCAAGCCTTTAAATTTGTTGGCTATCAATCAGCAAGATTGGCAAATGCATTCAGGGTCCAGATTATTTGACTGAGAGGAAGCAGGTTCTGTGTGTACATGCGTGTATGTATGGTGTGTATTGTCTGAGTTGCATTTAAAATAATCAGAAATTACTTACTTTCATAAGTATACTAAAATAAATTCTTAAGCAAAGTAAATGTGCCCATGAGTAGATGAACTCATATATATTGTTAGTGTTAAATGATCTTGCAATTAGTGCTTGACTATTTATTTCCCTAGGCAAGAAATTATAGAGCAGCTTCTATCAAATATTTTCCACAAGGAGAAAAATGAATCAGCCATAGTCAGTGCAATCCAGATTTTGCTGACTTTACTTGAGACACGACGACCAACGTAAGCTTTCCTTTAATTTTGTCAAACAATCCATGTTGTTTTTCTTTTAGATTTTGTTTTAATGCTAAGAGTTGAAACAGCTTTACTTAGCCCCACCTGCCCAGATTTCTGTTGTGTTGCTGGTTCATTTAATCTTGGATCAATAATAATGGAAGGGCCATTTGTTGGCACTGCTTCAAGTATGTTGTAATTTGGAGATTTTATCTGCAGTTTTGTATGTCTTCCTTGGAAAATCATATTTTAAGTAAGTTAAGCAATTTATTATACAGGTGGTGGTATATATCTTGATGGTTTTGCTTCAAAACCATTGAGATTACTATGATTAGTTGCAAAATTTGAAAGCAGGTTAGGTAGTCCGGTAGGCTGTAGGCTTATGGGGAGTACTGTGATTTATTTTATTGTATTATATTTTATATTTTAATTTTAATTTTTAATTTTTTTGGTACTGGGGATTGAAGTCACAATCTCACTCTTACCAGACAGGTGCTTGTGGCGCTGTATCTACAGCGCTGGACTACTGTGATTTATTTATTTATTTTTTCCTCTCTTTTTTAAAAAAAAAATTTATTTAAAGAATAAACAAAACACAAAATGGGTAGAAATAATACATACTTTCAAAGAAAGAATAAATAGTAAGAAATCAGTAGTTGATATTTACATATTTTCCTCTTACAAATAGTTATTCAAGTTACAAAAGTGGAACATACAAAGTGGGGTTTACTGTGATTTAATAAAGAAATAAATCTAAGAAAAAACAAAGTTTTACCTATGGGAAAAAAATTCCCATAATTATGTAATCTAGTCAGAAAAGACAATTTGAAAAAAAGAATAATACAGGGAAATTTCTGGCCAGAATTTTTCCTCTCAAACCAGAAAGGTTTATAGAAAAACAAGCAAGATTAAATGTTTACAATTTAGATTTTAGCCTTATCCTATAAGATTTCAGAGTCCCAGGTATCCATCTTAAAAGTATCTAGATAAAAATGGGTCCTTTGAGAAACTGGTAGGACAATAAATAGTCTTAACAGTGCCAGATGTGAAGGAAATACTCAAATTATACACACACGCGCACACACACACACACACACACACACACACACACACACACACACACAAATACAAATGATAGCATCTGTCCAAAAAGGACACTGGAGCCACAAGGCAGAGCTTCCTGTGGCCAAAGCTGAGATAATTTGCATAACAAAATAAATTAGTATTATAACCAGTATTATAAAATACACATCTTTAAGTCCATAGCAATGTAACTAAATGATTGAAAGAATAGATAAAATACCTGTCATGTAGAATTGTAAATGGATTGTGTAGATACTCTACCCTCAAGGAGTTAAACTATATCTCCCTACTTTTTAGACATGGTTTGCCTTTAGTGATGTCCTTCCACACAGTACAGTATGAGAAAAGAGAATAAGAAGAGTAACTTCTCAATGGAGAAACCTTACACATTGTCAGTCAGGTAATTAGCAGCAGTGATAAGGCATGCCATTAATGCATGCCTTTGATATGATATATTAGTGATAGAGCTTTAGCCCTATGGTCTTTTTCCCAAAGAGTTCAAATCATTAAGAAAACGCCAGCATGCCCCAGTAGAAGGATATCCTGCAAAATACCTGACCAGACCAGTACTCAGCTGTAAGGTAATAAAAAAAACAGTCTGTCAGTTAAAAAGTGGCTAAGAAGACGTGACAGCTAAATATGATGTAGGTTCTTTGATGGGATTCTGGAACAGAAAATGCTTTAGGTAAAAATAAATGAAAATCTGAATAAATTATGAATTTTATGTGTCAGTATTTGTTTATGATGACAAGTACAATATTAATATAAGGTATTAGTAGAGGAAATGGTATGGGTTAATGTGGACTATGTACTATCTTTGTCTTTTTTCTGTGTAGAAATAGAACTTGGCAGAACATTTAAGCAGAAAATCTTAAGAATACAAACATCTTGAACAATACTGTCAGTCAACTCAACCCGATTGACACTTGCAAAAATTCCCCAGAGGAACAGCAAAATATTCTTTTGAAGTACACATGGAATTTTTACACATATCCTGGTTTGTGCTGCTGTAACAGATTATCATAGACTGGAGGGCTTAAATAACACATACTTAATTCTCAATCTGTAGACTAAGAAGTGTAATATCAATGAACTGGCAGATCCAGTGTTTGGTGTGGTGTCAGGTGGCTACCTTTATACGGTGTCTTCACATTGCAGAGAAGCAGCAAACACTGCTCTCTTTTTGTAAGGGCACTAATCCCATTCATGAGGTCTCAGTATATGACCTACTTTACTACCTCCCGAAAGCTCTACTTCTAGTACCTTCATGTTGAAGGTTAGCATATCAACATAAGAATTTTAAGGAAAGTGCACCACTGTTCCCCCTAGCCAACACGAGAGAGTGGATTCCCCCTACCCCCAACACACATGAAAGAGCAGCAGCCCCCTCAACATCATGGGAGAGACCAGACTTGAGACCCAGGAGCAGTGCCTAGCCTCCAGAGGAACACAGCTCGCTGCAGCAGAGACAGAAAGTAACCAGCCAGCCAGGTCCTCGACAGATATAACACATGGGGAGAAGGGGAGCAAGCGGACCCCCTGCCTGTTGACATTAAGTCCAATAGCCCACTTGAACCTATGCCTTGGCAGCCTGCATCCAGTAAAGAACAGATTTATGTTGTTCTTTTTTTTCCAGGACCCTGAGGTACAACATTAGGTTATTTATTTGCACTTGCTCTGTTTTTCTGATATGGGCATTCATAACTATAAACTTCGCCTTTTAGGACTGCTTTAGGTGTGTCCCATAGATGCTGGTATATTTCACTAGCATTATTGTTTGACTCTAAGAACGATGTTCTTTGATTTCATCTATGACTCATCAATTATTCAAGAATGTATTGTTTAATTTCCTGTAGTCATTGATTACTTTTGTGACCTGTCAGTTATTCAAAGTTGTTTTGTTTAATATTCCTTTGTTTGCATAATGTCTGTGATTTCTTTTGCCATTGATTTATAGTTTCATTGCACTATGACTTAATAATATTCATGAATTAATTTTAATTCTTCTGCATTTCTTAAACATGCTGTATGTGCTAGCATGTGGTCTATTTTGGAGAAAGTTCCATGTCTGCTGAGAATATGTATTGTGTTGTCATTGATGGAAACACTCTGTAAAAATCTATTAAATCCATGTGTTTGAAGGTTTTATTTTTCTTTGTTTACCTCTTTATCTAGTTATCTGTCCATTTGTAACAGTTGGGTATTGAGATCTTCTATTTTAATTGTGTTGGTGTTTTGTGAATTTTTAATATCCAGTTTTTAATGTTTGTTTTATGAAGTTGAGCACACTGTTTGGTGCATTCATGTTTATAATTTTTTTATATTTTATTTTAAAGAGAATAAAACCAAATAAAATAAAACAGAACAAAGCCAATCAAAACAGTGAAAGTGATACAGGACTTTAAAGCAGGATAATAGGAAATCATCAATGGTTACCATAATGCCTCTTCTTATCTTCACAGTTGCTTCCCATGTCATCAGTTATAAGAAAATCAAACAAAACAGAACAGAATAAAACGAATCAAAACAAAACTTTGAAGAAAATAAAACAGCAAAGCAAAACAATGAGAACAATGTCCACAGTTACTGTATTGCATATTGCTATCCTCTAAATAGATGCTCAGATTACCAGCTTTAGGCCTGCAAAGTCAATCAAACAAATACAAGCATTAAGTTGTTTTTGTACCTCAGTTGCTATCAACTCAGCCTGTGGCCCTCTGAATCAGTTGCTTGTGGAGGTGGGTTGGGCTCTTTTGTCTCCCAGCCCACTTGTTGGCTGGCTCACAAAAGGGACAAACTAGCTTCTTGTTTCTCTTCATGGCCCCTCATGGCCACTGCTGGCTCATGGGAGGGGTAGTTTGGCTTCTTGTTTCTCTTCCTGGCTCCCCACTGCTTGCTCATGGGAAGGGCAGATTGGCTTCTTGTTTTTTTTCCTGGCCCCTCCTGGCCACTGCTGGCTCATGGGAAGGGTGGATTAGCTGTATATATTCATGGCATCTAACTCCTTATGTTCATAAACATTATCTTTTTCCATTGAATTGTTCTTGTAACCAGTATATAGTGGCTTTTTTTTTTTTTTTTTTTTGGTCTTTTTGAGACAGGGTCTCATTATGCACTTCAGGCTGGCCTTGGGGTCACTTCGTAGATCTTAAAAAAAACATTTCACTGCAAGTTTTCCTAACTTTGAAGGTTTTATGTTGAGAAGTCTCCTGCAGTTCTGATGGCTTGACATTTTAAGGGATTTGTTCATTTTCTTTAATACATTTTAATTGAACTTTAGGGATTTTTTACTATATAATATATCATGGTGGGTTTCTCTTTTGATCATGGCTATTGAGGTTGTGTATGTTTTATTCCTTGTATTTGAAACATTTTCTTCTGTGATGTCATAAACAGGTTTTTGTGCTCTTGATTTTTCACTTATTCTACTTCATCTTGAGTTGTTTTCTTTGCATGATCTAGCTACTGTTGGATCCATTCTTCATATTTTCGTTTTTAAGGTTTTTCTGAATAATATGGTTCCTGACAGCAGCAGTGTCTTTTTAAGTCTGATGCTGTGTCTTCGTGTTGGTCATTTGTGTTGCCCACACACACATACACGCTAGTTTGTATTTTTTTTTTTCTTTTGTATCAAGGATTGAATTTATGACCTTGCATTTACCCGGCAAGCACTTGAGCCACTGAGCTAAATCCTCAGCCCTTAATTCTTAATCTCCTAGATTTGTTTGAAGTCTTTTTATGGACTCCAATTCTTTACTAAATAAACTATGTTTTGTATCATTTTGTCTAGCTCAACTACCTTTTTACTAGTGTCTTCTGTAAGCTACCTGATCATTTTATTATATCTACTGTCTGTTTAGTATCTTGTGTGAGTCCACTGAGTACCTTATATATATGATTTTAATCTCATGTCTTATCCTTTTTTA